AAAAAAAAAAAAAAAAAAAGAAGAAGAACATGGACACCTGGGAATCCTGCCGTAAGAATCTACAGGTTCTTGCCGCAGGAATCCCAGAAAGCAGCACAAGTCCCCGTGTAGCCTAAAAAGGCTTTTTTTCCAGCAAGCTAGGGAAAAGGCGACCAACCTTCCAGGACAGTAGCATAAAACTAAGGCATGATGGTTAGAGGTGGGGTTATATGGGGCTGGTGAGCGACACTTTTTTTTAATTTACCCATGACTAAACCTGTAAGTGGCAGCACATAACCAAAATGTCTAACAATTACTACATTCCTGTGCCTCTCAATGTACAACAAACACTAATTTTAAAATGAAAAGAAAAAAAAAAAAGCTGCAAAAATCTATGAACATGGGAAAATAAACACAAAAGTGCTGCAGTTAGAAACGTGACCAATAATATATAAACAAGCTTCCCAATCACAATTTTTTTTCACAGCATAGGCCATAACTATTTTAACAGCAACCAGGTCAACATACTGCATTCATTTTTTAACGATCTATATCTTCATTGAAAAAATACAAATATTCTACTACATTCAAGGAACATAAAACAAACGAGCCCTTTCCTCTTACCTGAGCATGGAAGTTGGAAATAGTTGTGGTCTCGATGTCTTTCTTCCCCAAGATTTCCATTTTGACTGGGGAGTTGGGAAAGTTAAAGGAAAAATAATCCAAAAAGTCAGTTAAATATGTGGCTGCCCCATGCACAATCCCCATGACATAATAAGCTGCACTGTTTTCATTTTCACTAAAGGTTAAATTAACAAATTCCTCAGCAAACCTTTCCATCTCCATGGGAGACAGGTGAGAGAGTTCACTGCTGTAAGCATGTATTAAAGATGCTCCACCATTGGGCTGATGTTCTATGTGAATGAGGTGCTTGAATTCCAAAGAGTCCAACCGCTTGGGCTTGTGCTGATCACGAGGCTCCTTCAATGACACAAAAGGAGATTCATTCTCTGGAGCAACCTTCTTGTCCTCTACCTTTACAACCAAATCCTTCAAACGGTCATCCACTTCTACTTTGGCTTCTGGGTTTTCAGATCTCTTCATGTCATAGACCAGGCCTGAGCAGACTGTTTGGATTGATTTGCTGTACATTTTAGGCTGTTTCCGCTTCTCACCCTCCTTGTGTTTCTTCTTCTTTTTCTTCTTAACTTTTTTAATCTGCAGTTCTTCTGCGTTTGGTTTTGGCTTTTCATTTGGATCTGAAACAACATAAAACTTTTTCAAAGAGTGTAGATGTTTTAAAGCACCCTAATAATGGCCATCAACAAGTGTGGTCGATTATTGCAATTAGCAGCTTGGAATCACTGCAGTCCACTCAATGCCTCACATTAGGAGGGGGGGGAAAAGCAAAGTCTAAGATATTATCAGGGTTATTCATTAAAGGGTGAAGAGTTTGGAGAAGGCAGGAGAAGTGAACAATCTAGGACAACATAGCTGATTTGGAAACATTCTCCAATTCAGCTCACTTTCCAGTTCAGCTATGTTGTCCTAGATTGTTCACTTCTCCTGCCTTCTGCAAACTCTTCACCCTTTTGTGAGTAACCCTGTTAGTGTTCAAAAATAAAATCAAGGACACATTTGATTTTTACAAAGCTTTCATACAGTTTATTATTTTTTTCCTAATCAAGCGGGAGGAGGTTCATAACATTACACCAAAAACCAAGCACTGCAACTCTCCTCTTCGTTATTCACATACACTGCTTTGCTGAAAAGTGTGTTCAATAGCTGAAGCTTGACTGTACATATCATTCCCTGTCTGCCTGCTCTGTTCTGGTAAGGTCCTATAACAATTTCATTAGAGAGAGTTTGAAAGAAAACAGCTTATGCTGTGATGTTTCTCAGACACAAGTGTCATTGCTGTATCCTGTATTACATGAGTATTCATTAAAAAAACTAGAATAGGACCTATTCACACTTATGCCCTCACCATAGATAAAACACAGCATAAGAAAGTGAATTCCAAAGAGGTAGTGGACATGATTTAGTGTGCATGCGGCAATCTGACAGTCATAACCCATCTACTGCAACCGTTTAACACAAAGAAGCTTATTCAACCCCTTCATTACTGAGGCCCTTTTTTCATTTTTTGCACCCATGTTATATTCCACATTTTAGGCCTGAAAATGACGTAAAACCCCCCAACAACACGGAGAAAAAGAAAACATAGCCGTTTTCTTTCAACATCGTCCACGGTTTTAGGTATTGACTCAATACCCAACATTAGTAATAAAAAGAATAAGCGAATAACGTGAGATCTAAGTATGCCTAGAGAGAATTATTTCGGAGAAAACATTTATCATAAATGTGCTCTGCTTCTAACATGTGACCAGACAGGCTTCAGTATGCTGAGCAAGTTGGATCACATACACCATTTAGGGAAGATTGTCTGCAGTCAGGAGCGATGAGTGGGTGGACTGAAAAGTAAACGAGATATGTTTGCAGCTTATTGGCAATTCAATACACTACTGTGGAACTGAGAGAACGGAAAACAAAATAAAATACAGCATTTATATAATTCAACAGAGGAGCATGGGCTTAAAGTGACACACAACTTCGGAGTTAAATCCTAAAAATGCATTCAAGTACATTAAACAAAAATTTAGCTTATGCAGGGGTGTGGAATTCCTATCGCCCGACCCCTGGGACATGCAGTTTCGGGCGCCGGGCGAGTAGTTTTTTTTTTTTACATTTAGCCCTGCTCCAGACAAGCAGAGCTAAATTCACAGTGTGGGGCCGCAGCTCGTTTTTATACAAGTGATCTCATTAGATCACATGTATGAAAGGATCGGCGGCTATTGTGTCCAGTCACCGCCGCCGTGACCACGACACATGAGCTGACCATAGAGCCCGAAGAGCAGACAAAGAACGGAGTAATCACTGAGACTGTGGCGCTGTGATCACAGCGCCACCTGTCTCAGCCGTCAGGAACTGCACAGAACATCAGTTCTGTGTTGGAGGGCAGGTTCCATAGAGAGAACCTGTCGCCTCCAAACTATCACATAAGAGATATATATACCGAGACCGCCGCAGCCGACACGGATCCTGACATTACTGTCGAGATCCACCCAGCTGCATGATTGACAGCTGGCTCTGCCTCACTAGAGGCAGAGCCAGCTGTACCTGCCCCCTCCCCCGTTCGTTCCTCCAGTCAGCGCTGGAGGAGCGGGGAGGGGGAGAATCCCTGCAGGGAGCAGTGAGTGACAGTTACGGCTCTCTGAAGGGCCAGGATCAAGAAGTGAGCGAGCGCCAGTATGTGTTCCCCCACTTCCTGATCTATAGAGCCGACCTATGACAGTTTCATTGTCACACGGCGGCTCGAACTATGAGGCTGAGTGAAAATCACTCACCTCATTAGACCTCCTTTTAAGAGCAAGCTCACTTTCCCAAGTAATATTGGAAAATGGAATTACCCAATCAAATCTGGCACCGGCAGATGCAGTGCAGGATGTACATAAACTTACTTGGCAAATATGCATCTGTGGCTGGTGTAAGGACAACAGGGTGTGTGTGTGTGTCAGCGTTTTTTGCTACATCTGGTTTCTGTGCTTCTCTATACAATGCAGACAGCTCATGGCTGGTGGTAGGGACTCTTCTCAAAAACTCTCAACCCTCATGCAAGCAGTGGTCTGGCTCTTGTGGGAAGACATATCAAAATGCCTTGATGGGTGGAGGTCATTCTGGAGGAGTGGGTGTTCCTAAACAGATTGAATTTGCATGCAGATTGCTCTAGGCAACACCCACATGTGATGGCAAGCCTCCATAATTAAAAGAACTAAAATCCAATAAATGAAAGAGGCACCGCCAGGGACAGTAAAGCTAAGGGAGAAAAGGGATAGATCAGGACTGGATGAATCCCAGGAGCCAGGTAGCCAATGGTTCCTAAAATGTACAGCTGGCGCCTAACTTATGAGGGTTTCTCTTGTTGCCTCCAATGGAGCTGGCTCTGTAAAAAAAATCCTGTTGACAACTGCACTGGGCAGGCTTGCTCCTGATTTCCACATTAATTGCCCACCCCTGGGCTAGAGTATTCTGGATTTACTCCTAAAAATCCTTATAGATCTATATCTGCAGTATGAGAGCTAAGGCACTGCTGCCTGTGACTGCTAGGCTCTAGAAAAGCAAATGCAAACCAAGAACAAAGCATGATACCACTATAATGGGAAAACAGATTAGCTGCAGAAAAGACCAGAAGCATTACTGGTGACTAGCGAGTCCATTGCCTGTTTTTTGGGGCACAGCTTCTCTTTAAACCTCAGTACTGGCAGTAGTTACCAGGGAATGTCAAATAAAAACAGATAAAACTTCAGCTTTAATTTGCAGATCAGCAACAAGCATGAAGTATGAGGAAAGTTACAACTCTAGATACACACACCTTTTCCCTGTCACTTAATGTAATTCAATCAGAGGGTGAGCTTGACAGTTTGGTAACTAGCTTTTCCAGGAGACGTGCCAGTACCTGTAAAATGTCTGTTACAAGCTCATAGTGCCAGTATAAGCACATTGGTGACATGCCAGATTCTGCTAATATCAGGAAAACAGGTTTCAGATATTGCTTTGACGATATAAAAGGGTACATATGACCCAATTTGATATAATGAAATGCTTTAGCCATGCAGTTTCCTCTAGTGGGTTTGACATGTTGCACAGCATAGTGCTGGAAAACACTGACCTCCTTCAACAAACCAAGAGAAGCGTTTGGATTGTGCAAGTATATAGCACACAATCAACAACTGCTGTATCACAAGCAAATGCATTACAGTCACACAGTGGCAAGCAACATTAAAAGGGATGAGGCCCATATGCTAAAAGAATCATTATTAGGATCACAACTTGAAATAACTGGATTCAGCTTTTTCAAAATGAACGGTCCCTCTCATCACTATGAACATACTAAAAACGGAATACATACAAATAATGCAAATACACAAGATGCAATTTACAAGAGGTGCAATAACGTTTAGGGCTAGTTCACACCAGAAATGCATGCATCTGCACAACTGCAATGAGATGCGTTTTGCCACAATTTACACATTTGTGCTTAAAATGTGATTTCAGGTGCGTTCCAGTGCATTTGCATGTGTTTTTGATGAGTTACATTGCAATCTGATGCAGCTAAAAAAGGGCAAGCAGAATTTTTCTGACTGCCTCAGACCGGACTGCACTGGTGTGAACAGAGTACCAGAAACCCCATAGGAAAGCATTGTAATGCATTTTGTATGCAGCTGCCACACTTAACGGACTGCATCAAGGCTGTGACACACTGCACTCGAAGCAGGGCGGAGCGGCGGTGCGCTGCCTTCGCTTGCAGTGCGTCAGGTAATTTTCTCTCTGGCATGTCAGCTGGCGAGAGTTCGCATAGCTGAGCGTGGCGAGATGAAAAATGTATAAACCCATGCGTCAGGATGCGACGTCCAGCCGGTTGCTACGCGCAAGCCAATTGGCTGAAGGTGCTGTCATTCATCTGCCTGCACTCAGCTCACACACACTGCACACAAAGCTCCGTGCCTTACAGCTTTGCTGTGCACGGCTTGGTGTGCAGTGTGTCACGGGCTTCACAACTGCATCTGGTGTGAACTAGCCCTTACCCATGGCACAATGTTTTCAATAAAATGACCACATTTCACAATGGGAAAGGAAGAGCATCTAAAAGCAGGAAGCAAAGTTAAACATGATCAGTGTAGTCTGGGCATGACCATGTGAAAAGGTTTCCAGTTCTATAACAGCAGCACTTTGGGTGTGTTGGATGCCTTGTCCTCTACGGTCCAATGTGGTTTCATCTGCCGGCTACTACATCATGAACACCCCCCACTGATGATAAAGTAAAATGACACTATTTATTGCATAGGCAAAGACTTACAAAGAAGTCATATGTTTTGTGCAAGGTATTTCTCTGCATTATATTTTTTTCTCACGGCTTGATCCCCAGCTTATTCCTTCCCTTTGTACTGCCGAACTCTTATAAATAAGTACAGAGTATATGGTATACCCTCTACATAAGTGCAGCAATGTTACAGACTTTCTCCAAACATGAAACCCAGGAACATTTTGACAGCGGTTTATAAGTGCAGACAATTTAGCAGTGTGGGCAACAGCTCTATGGTCAGGAATAGGCAACACTGGCGTCCTGCTATACACACTCACAATATACATGGTGAAGATGTAGGTGTACTTTGTATTGCACCAAGCAAGCAACCACGAT